GCCGCAGCGTAGAGGGAGCCGCTCAATGAGCAGCCCTGGACAATGCCTGACGTAACCCACCAGACATGGGTAGGAGTATTGCGGACCATTGCAAAAGCCTCGAGCTCTAAGTACAGGTGGTCGATGATGGACAGAAAGGCACGCGGCACCTGCATCTCGTTGAGCACCACCTACATGAACTCCTGAGAGAGACTGGGAAAAGCAGCGCCATAGTCTAGTGCAGCCAAGACAGGGACATTGGATTCGGCTGACGGCACATCTGAGTAGACCCTGCTGACCGTGTCGAGCTTCAGAATGTTCACTCCAAAGTTCCTCTGTGGGATAAAACCTCGCTGAGAGCGAGGGGCCCAGGTTTTGAGAAGGACACTGAAGCGTGCATTGATCGTTGCCGTAATGATCTTAATATCGGTATTGCGCAGTCCAAGCACTCTGACCGAGGACGGGGACCGAGTGCAACCTGCGGCCGCACTGTCCGCAGGGTCATCGCCTTTCGGTAGCCACGCGTGGAGCGTATCGTTGGATGACTTGAACAACGCCTGCCCAGAGAGAACCCACATCATGGCCTCTGAGAGCACCGAGAGACCAAGAGAGGATGAGCTCCACGCCGAGTAGGGAATGCCATCTAGTCCCGGTTCTGAGTGACGAGATTTCTTGGCGACTGCGCGAAGAAGCGACTGGGTCGGTGGCGGTGCAGCATCAAAACACATGGGCTGGGCCAGTCCCTTCACATACTCGCGGGCAGCAGGAACATTGATAGGTTTGGCAGTGAAAATCGGCGCCCAGTGCTCCACAAGCTTGTCGTGCATGTGAATATTGTCGGACGTTGAGGACGCGCCAGTACCTGAATCTTTGATGCCTTGAAGAACCGGCCGACGAGAAAGTGGTGACCACATGGGTGCACGCCTCTCGAGAGCTTGAAGTTGGTGGCGGAGCTGAGGGGTAGAACGCCCACCAGCGAGCTCTGCCTCCAGGTGACGGCGTTGGAGGTCAGCATGACGCACTTGCACAGCTTCGCTCCGCTGCTGGAACGAAGGAGCATGGACTAGCAAGATAGTGCCCGTCGAGATGTCCACGCAGTCTCCGGCCGTCTGATGCGCAGCGCGGAGGCGAAAGGCGAGGGAGCTGAGAGCCCAGTGCCTCGGAGTCGTGCCGCATAAGACGATCACGAATCTCACGCGCAACTTCCTTAACTGCCCACTTGAAGAGGTCAATCTGCCTTGGAGGTGAGCGGGGCGTAAAATCTAGCTGCCGAGTAACGGTATCCAGCAAGTCCTGGAACGCTTCGGACTCGAAAATGCGCCTCGGGATCTTCCGATCTCCTCAGGCTTAGAGGAGCGCTGCGAGAAAGAACAAGACTGGGCTGCGTGGTCACTCACCTCCTTCTCGGCTAAGACCTCAGGAAGCCCCAGCGCGCGGGGAACGGCGTGAACTGGGCATGCGATCCAACCAGGGAGACTGACCCAGGGCCTATCTAATGCAGAAACCGAGTGAGCGTTGGCGTCATAATGAATAGGCTCGTCCGACGTGAACTCCATGAGAGGTGCCAGTATCTTAGGCCACTTGGTAGCTTGAACATGCTGGCCTTTACCCGGGCCCCCCTCGGCGACCAGGGCGGTGGAGAAGAAGAGGAGAGGGGGCAGCAAACTTGAAGTCCCCATGTACTGCCACGGTGGCCGTCAGCGGAGAACTTCCGGCAAAACTGATATCTGCCCCAAGCGCCCTACCTACCTTCAGGAATTGGGCGCTATTGATGCCATGGTTGTGTGCATTGTAGTGGAAGAGATGGTGCCCTTCGTGTTGCAGATGAAGACGGAGCGTGCGCCCTGGAACAAGCTCGTCAGCATGAACCACTGCAGGGCAGGGGGCAGGCAAAACTGTGGCGACCCCGCCTTGCACTAGCGATTCCTCGCAGCGGGAAGAGAACATGCGCACGCCACGATGAACTTTCCCGATAAAGTCTCGTAAATGCACAGCATCTTGATGCACCTCCTGAAGGCAAACCACCCCATTCAAAAAGTCCAATCGGCGGAGGTAGTCCAGCTTCACCTTGGAGTGAGCACCCTGGCATTGAAGAAGCGCCCTCGCATTCCAGGAAGTAAAGGAAACCAAACCGTGCCCTCGATGCACGCCTCGTGTTAATCTTCCCAGCCCGCTAAAGACACCACTCAGCCGATTCAGGCGGAGCGACGATGGCGGCAGCAGCTGCTGATAACTGCTGCTTCGGAAGACCAAGCTTGGCGATGAGATTGTCGGCCCGATTGAGCGTGGAGGGTGCGTTGCCAGGGTTCGGGCTGATCTTGAGAATCGGGTCCCAGCCAGCCATGACATAGCCTCGGTCCTTGTCAACGTACCAGCGCTTTGAGGAATCGATCTCTTTGAAGGCGCCCCGAATTTTCCGAGCCTGCATCTCCATGCGAATCTGACGCGGATTCTCGTCGGGTACGATATGAAGAGCCGTGGACTGTCCGTCTGCTGCGGTGGTCTCGAAGCGCTTCCATTGGCCAGGCCCGAGGCGTTGGGCACCGAGCACTTTGGCAACTCGACGAGCAGCGGGGGCGGGTGCACCAACGAAGTTGATGGAGAAGCTGCGTCTGACGGCCTCAGGGGAAGAGATCTTGAATAATTTTGGCTCAACACCGACCTCAGCGATCCAATCAGAGAGGGTCTGTTGAACCTGGTCGAGGGCCGTGAGCTTGGCTGCAATGACTTTGATAACACACGGGTCGGTGTCACGGTCAAAGCCGGCGGCGGAGAGCAGCGGGGCCTTTCGGACATCGTTGGCGACGGCGAGGAGCTCGTGCAGCTTGCTGATCTCGGCCTTGAGGAAAGAAATGTCGGAGTCATGGGTGTCCAGTCTGGTCTCATGGGCACGCAGCCGAATATGCATCCCGTCGATCTGCTCCTGTAAGCGGCGATTCTGACCATCCAGGCGCTTAGCAGCAGCATCGTCAACCATCTTGGGGAGGTCCTTGACGCCGTGGGCGAGTTCAGCAGCGGACTCGGCGTGCTTGGAGAGCTGCTCGGCGAAGGGGTTGATGGCCTCGTCCACTGTGGATTTGATGGAGTCCACCATCGTCTGCTTGTATTCGCGTAGCAGCTTGGTGGCCTCCTCTTTCGCCAGGTACCGAGTGTACTCGTCAGGTCCAGTTTCTTCCCAGCCCCAATCTTCATTTTCATCTTCACCATGAGCGCCATGAGCAGGGTCGCCATCAGCAGGGGCAGGGAGATTATCAGCAGAGAGAGCAGCAGAAGCACCAGCGCCACCAGGAAGCTGAGCGGTGGTGGTCCCTGAGGCGTCGCTGCTGTCGCCATCGAGGTCGTGCTTCCTCGGGCCCTTCTTCAGCTTCTTCGGCTTCTTGACGCCGAGAGACGCCACAGGCATGCGGCGGCCCGCGCGCGGGGCGCCCCGATCACTGAGCCAGGAGGCTACGGATGGGCCCAAAGCTAATCGCAACACCTCGGTTCCCCGAACCTTCGTTACGTTTAGCCTTGAGCCAAAATGGCTGCGGAGAAGGAGGAGGAGGAGGAGGAGGAGGAGGAGGAGGAGGAGGAGGAGGAGGAGGACGAGGAGGAGGAGGAGGAGGACGAGGAGGAGGAGGAGGAGGGGGAGGGGGAGGAGGAGGAGGGGGAGGGGGAGGAGGAGGAGGATTTTTGTTTTTTGTGCCGCCCGGCCGCGCCCGCCGCGGGGTCCCAGCCGTCCCTCCGAGGCAGTGGCCGTGGGCGGGCGCGCCAGGCGCCGGCTCTCTCGGCGAGCACTCCCCCTTGTGTGCGGCGGCGCTCCCGCCCACAGCTGCCGCTCGCCGTCCTCTTGGAACCGCTCGCCGTCCGCCCGGCGGCGGGGTCGAACCACTGGATGGCCTCCAACGCGCCCGCACATTGCAATACTACGCAGTGGCCCTTGCAGGGCCCTTGCAGCACCTTGCAGGCTTCTCCTCTGCCTCCTCCCCGCTCCTCCTTTCAGCCCCTCCAGCTCCTCCTCCGCCTCCTCCTCCTCTTCCTCGTCGCTGTCCTCACTGTCCTCTCTCGTTTTTCCTCTCGTCCCCCCTTCTCCTCGTCTGCCGTCTCACTCCCCTCCTCATCCCTCCCCCTCCTCCATCTGCTTCTCTTGAGAAGGAAGGGGGAGGATGGGGAGGGGTTAAGAGGATGATGCAGTGGATAAGAAGGAGGTGGAAAGGAATTGGGATGCGGATGATGAGACGGAGAATGTAAACACGAGCCAAATGAAGTATTGATGAAGACTATGAGTGGGGTATTGAGCACCATGACAAGGGGGAGGGTGGGAGAGGATTCTGTAATTCATATGTCAGAGCATGATCATGCTGACGTGGAGGGGCATGTTTATGATGGTGACAATCGTGACGATGACGATGGTGATGATTGTAGTCCCCCCTAGAGCATGATGACAACGTTCGGGCGTAGCGTATTGAGGAGGATGCTGAGGAGCATGAGAGTTATAATGCATCATGGAGGAAGCGTAGTGAGGATGAGGAGCATGACGAGAGGATCGGAAGAGTGAGAAGAAGGGGTGATGGAGAGATGGAGGGAAGTAAGACGAGGAACCGGCGTGAGATGATGGGATGTGAGGAAGACGAGGAAGGAGGACTGATGAGGAACAACCTCCTCCTCCTCCTCCTCCCAACTCCCCCTCCTGCTCCTCCGCCTCCTCCTCCTCCTCCTCCTCCTCCTCCTCCTACTCCTACTCCTACTCCTACTCCTACTCCTCATCCTCCTCCGCCTCCTGCTCCTCCTCCTCCTCCTCGACTTGACGAGGGACGAGGGGTGACCAAGTTAGCCAAGTCGAACGTGTCAACGGTTTCCACCCACTCCCTGCCTCCCTCCCGTAACGCGAGCAATCGTGTCTGCACAGCCTGATCTTGGGACAGGGGCGGTTCCCACCCACTGCAGCGAACGGGGGGGCGCTCGCGCGCTGGTCCGCCTCCGATGACTTGGAGAGAGAGAGAGAGAGAGAGAGAGAGAGGAAGACACAGATCACACATGTTATCCTTCCCGGGCGGCCAAATCTCCGATGAGCTGGCGACGATGAAGCATGCGCCGTGCCGAGGCAGCACTGCAAGTCTCGCACGCGCAAGCGGCGCGCCGCTGTGGCGAGGGCAGAGCGTCGCCCGCTCTCGCCGCTTGCGGCTCCATGCGGCTTGGCAAACTATCGACGGAGAGCGAGGGGGGGGGAAATGAGAAGGAGAAGGCTTCTCAGAAGGCGGCGGGACTTCTCAGAAATCCCCTCGCGCCTCCTGAGAACTTCTCTGTGCCTCCGGTCAAGGCCTAGAGCACTTCTCAGCATGCCGAGGGGGACTTCCGAGCCCTCCGAGAAGGCCTTCTCCTTCTCCGCTCCCCCCTCGCCCGCCGCCGAAGCGAAGCGTGCGTGGCCCCCCGCGCGGGAGCGCCAGCTCCCGGCGAGACGTGCACGGGGCTCGGGCGAGGGCGCCAGGCTCCCGCTCGCGTGCAGCCCCGCTGCCCCACGACTCGCCGGGGTGACGAGTGTGCGCGCCGCGCCGAGGAGGCGGGAGCGGCACCCGTCGAGCGCACTCTGGGCGGCGCGTGCTGCGCGGTCGCCCGCGCGCGCGTCGACGCCCTGGCGAGAGAGAAGCAGGTGCGCTGCGCCCAAGCGGGAGCTCAACCCTCAGGGATCCAGCAGCACGGCGCCGAAGCGGTAGCGGCAGTTCGCCCCCTCGAGCGGGCAGGGCGCTCCGCCAGCTTCCCGCCGCGCAATCTGCAATGTCAGCGTCATGGCACACGGAAGGCGCTTTCCACCGCCATCCTGTTGTGTTGGGAACCTCGTCTTGGATCTGCAGCGCCGCACTCCACCTCACCTTCTCCCCCTCCCCCTCCCCCTCCTCCTCCTCCTCCGCCTCCTCCTCCTCCTCCTCCTCCTCCCCCTCTTCCTCCTCCATTCCTCTTCCTTATGAAGAACTCCTCTGCCTGAGGCTTCCTTACCAGTTATGGGCCTGAAGCATTAAAACTGGCATCAGTTTCGCCGATTGAGTGCGGGTCACTTCCAACACGTGGCTTTCGCCATAGCACCGCTCACATTCGCTTTAAACATTTGCAAGAGTTTCATGGATAGGTGGCGGGTGGTTTTCAAACTGTAGCTCTCGCCTTAACGCCGCGTGTTGGTTTCACACATTTTTGCAAGAGCTTCACGGATTGAAGGCGGGTAGTTTTCAAACTGTGGTTCTCGCTTCAGCGCCGCCTACACTTGTTCAACACCATGGAAATGGTTAACGAAGTGAGGGCGGTTCCTTTTCAAAATGTGACTCTCGCCTGAGCGCCGCGCACATTCGTTTTAATCAATTGCCAGAATTTCACACATTGACGGCGGTTTCGTTTCAAAATGTGGATCTCGTCTTAGCGCCGCGTATATTCGTTTCAACACTTTGCAACATTTTCAATGGTTTATATTGTTGACGTGCCAGACATGGTGCTTGGAACGACTCACGATTGTCAGGGTGCATCAGTTACGTTGATTCGCAATGTTGAAGTCCCAGGGATGGTGTTCTGGCGCGACTCAGGATCGTCAAGACGCAGCAATCAGGTTAATTCGTGGCGTTGGAGTCCTGAGACTGGTGTTCTGGCGCGCTTCAAGATTTCCACAAGGTTGTCCCAAAACGGGGCACTTCCCTCAGTGGAAATGAGTCCTTGCAGGGGCCTCTGAAGAGGGAGCCTGGAGGGAGGGTGTATTCCATCATCGTTGATGAATATTGGGTTTGCACTGGTCCTCCTCTTCCTCCTCCTGTTCTTCCTGACCCTCCTGTGTGTTGGGTCCAGTTGCAAGGTCCGCATGTGTGCCTAAGCTCGTTCTGGCACGCCCTTCATACATGTCGTGGCCCCATCGGGAGCTGCACCGAAGGCCCCACTGGAGGAACTTGCATGGCGTCCCCCGCCGATTTCGGCACACGTGATGATGGTGATGATGACGATGATGATCATCATCATCAGCATCATCGTCACCATCATCAGCATCAACATCATCATCACTGATCTAACGAATATCGTTCCCCCACAGGGAGCTCCACCTGAGGCCGTGGTGGGAGCGCTGGCCTGGCGCCACTCGCCCATTGCAACACACCTCTCGCGAGAGTCTTGCCCCCACAAGCTGCCCCCCCGCCGATGTCGGCACAGCGCTCATAAGGACTGTGCCTCCCATGGGGATATCCGTCTATGGCCGCAACGGAAGAACTCGCATGGCGTTCCCCCCCGCCCATGCCGGCACACCCCCGACGAGGATCGTGCCCCCATGGGGAGAGCTCGACCGGAGGTCGCAGCCGACGGACTCGCATGGCGTTACCCCGCCCATGCTGACCCCCCCCCCCGAGGACCGCGCCTTCACAAGGAACTTCACCTGCGTCCGCAGCCGAAAAACTCGCACGACGATCCCATGCCCATGCCGGCACACCCCCCCACGAGGACCGCGTACGGCGCCACCGCGTCCACGTCGGCACACCTCCCATGAGGACCGCGCCCCCATGGCACTCGCATGGCGACAACCCGCCCGTGTCGGCACGCCCCTCACGTGCCTGGAGGGCGCTTGGCGCCCGCATTTTTGCACGGCACCCGCATGTTTCGTGGCCCCACACGGAGCTCCACAGCAGGCCCAGTGGCACAGGGAGGCCCTCAGGGCGTATGGAGTCCCCCTGCGAATTTCGGCACACCCCTCACGCGCTTCGTGGCCCCACGTGGGGGATGCACCGAAGACTCCAGTGGGACAGGGCGCATGGCTTCCTCCCCGCCCATCTCGGCACACCCATCACACGTTTCGTGGCCCTAGAAAGGGAGCTCCTCCGACGGAGATGCTCACAGGTGCATATGGTCGGGCCCTTCGCCATACCAAGTTTAAACTCCGATAGGATGCAGCCACCAGGATCATTTTGCTATCGGCAAACTAGACTGTAGAGTAGGACTCTACACTTATCATGCCAGCCTTCTGGGCGTAGGCGGTTCAACGAGTCAGTTATTCCAACTTCCCACTTCCCCTTCGGGTAGAGATTTACCTCTCCCCCTACCCCCCTCCTTTGGTCTTCAGAGGGGGGTCGTCGCGACGGGTTAGAGCGAGCAAGATGGCCCAAGATGACCTCCAAGGTAAGGTCGCACATGATGGCCCGAGATAGTTCGAGATAGTTTCCAACATGCCTCCAAGAGGCCCCAATACCGCCCCACTGCGGTTTCAAGTGGTCACGGAGACTCTCAAGGACGTCTCGCAGAGTTTAATAACATCCTTCCAACACCTGAAAGGAATCGCGGACTTGAGAGTCCAAAGAGAAGCCTAGGAGAGCTCCCCCAGAACGCCCCAAGAGGCCCCCACGAGGCCCCCAAAGAGGCCCCCAAAAGCCTCCCAAGAGACCCCAAAACTACCCCCAAGAGGCCCCCGAGGGCGCTCGTCGTCGTCGTCGTCGTCGTCGTCGTCGTCGTCGTCGTCGTCGTCGCCGTCGCCGTCGCCGTCGCCGTCGCCGTCGCCGTCGCCGTCGCCGTCGCCGCGACCGCCGCCGCTGCCGCCGCCGCCGCCGCCGCCGCCGCCGCCGCCGCCGCCGCCGTCGTCGTCGTCGTCGTCGTCGTCGTCGTCGTCGTCGTCGTCGTCGTCGTCGTCGTCGTCGTCGTCGTCGTCGTCGTCGCGCGCGCGTGGCTGCCCCTGGGCATCCCCAGGCGAGAAGCACCCCATGCAAATCCGGGCGGTCCCTGGGCGATCCCCGTCACGGATGCCGGAGCTCCTTGGAGCTGCCTTCAGGGCCTTTCAGAGCGTCCCAAGAGGCCCCCAAGGCGCTCTGAGAGGGCCCAGAGTCACCAGAAGTCGTTCTGAGATGCCCGAGATAGCCTCCAGGCGTCTTCACCCGCCTCCAAGACGCCGGAAGATGCCTCCAAGACCACTCCCAAGAAGCCCTCTAGAGGCAACATTCAACGATTTTCCATTGGTTTGGAAGGCTTTCAGCGTTGCAGCGTTCTCACCTTTTCGGTCGCCGACGCTCTAAGACGGCCCAAGAAGCCCTTAAGATCGCTCCAAGACGGCCCATTAAGCCTCCAAGAGAGCCCCAAAACGGCCCACGGGGACTCCAAGACGGCCCAAGTTTCTCCCAAGACGGCGCTGGAGAGCCTCAAGACACCTTCCGGAAGACCCTTCGAGGGGGAGCCCCAACGGACATTTCGAGGGTTCGGCCTCCAAATCGCCCCCAAAGCCCCTCCCCAGGCCTCCGAAGAGCTCCCAATAGGCCTTCGGCCTCTAAATCGCCCCCAGAGCCTCCTCCCCCCCAGGCCTCCGAGGAGCTCTCAACAGGCCCCACGAGGCCCCAAGCGGCCCCTAAGAGCCCCCCAAGAGGGTCCAAGAGGCCTCCCAGAGGCGCCAACCGAGGCACAAAAATCCAAGGCGCCCCTAGGAGGCCCCAAAGAGCCGCTAAACCTGCCACACAGGAGCCCCCCGAGAACCCTCCGAAGAGACACCAAGAAGCATCCATGAGGACTCTCACCCACAACCGCAGCAGCGTCGACCAGCAGCGCCGCATGCCCCACGAGCGCGCACTCAACCGCCAACGATGGCACAATACGGGCCGGCGGAATGAGCGAAGCGACAAATAATAGTGATAGCAATGTGGAGGAGGGAGGAATGGGAGGAGAGGAGGTAGAGAATGAGAAGGATGAGAAGGATGAGGAGGATGAGGAGGATGATGAGGAGGAGGAGGACGGGGGATGAGCATAGTGGACGAAAGGGAGGTGGAAGACAGGGAGGACTATGACCATGACGGGTTGAATAAGGAAGACGTGGAGGATGCGGGGAGGAACAAAAGAACAGATGCCATCCAGGCTCATCCCTCGCACAACTATCACTGATATGCTCTTGCGACCCAGATCGCCAATCAAGCGAGCAAGCAAAGCAGCCGAATAACTTCATTCGAAGCGATGGGATTTTGTCACATCGCGGTCACAGCAAACACGAAGCTGGCCGCACGTGGAACTTAGCATGCCATGCTCGACGGCACACTCGCGGAAACAGGCGAAGGCTCGCTTGAATCAATTATCGCCCCACGAAAGCAGATCCGAACGACTTGAAAGTTCCACACGTTATATTACATGTGGGAATCGCTGTAAGCTGTATTCTGCCTCGCCGTGCGATTCCAGCACTAATCAGCACCCCTCATCCCCCTCGCGCATTGCCCTGCACCGTCGAGCTCGTGGTCGAAGTCCTGTTTCCTCCTGCTGCCCCTGGTGCTGCCCCTCCTCTTCATCCCTCCTGTTCCCTCCTCACCTCCTCATCGCCCTTTCGCTGCATCCCTCTCACTCCTTTTGTTCCCCGTAAACACCTCATCATCCCCTCCCTCTGCCCCAGAAGCAACGCTTCGTACCCTTGGGCCGCACGGTCGTTTTGTGCTGCTAGCGTTCATGTGGGGGATTAGGAGATCGAGGCAAGGGGGAGCGCGAACCGTCTGTTGTCTTTATGTTTGCCATCGTGTACCCAAAACAGTGGGGTCTTGCGCTCCCGCTGCGCGCGCTGTAGTGCAGGCTGTGGGGTACAATGTACGCGGTGAAGCGTGTGGAAAACAATCTAATAGGTGCAACCGATGTGGTCCACGCTAATGTGCAAGTTTTCCGTGTAAGCTCTGGGGTGCCACGTGATGTATTTGAATTTGCACTTGAAACCGTCAACACCAATGACCAGACGAACATCCCATCCACCCACCCGAAACTTCCTGGCAACACCCAACTGGCGCAATGACGCGAAGAACCTCAGCATGCAGATCCATGACTCGGGCGGGTGGCTGATGATGGTGACGCCGACGCCGACGCCGACGCCGCCGACACCGATGCCGACGCAGGGGCCGCCGCCGCCGCCGCCGACGACGACGACGATGACGGTGGTGGTGTTGGTGGTGGTGGCGGCAGTGGGGAGGGCGGCGGCAACGACGTCGACTCTGTCCTCGGGGGGAAATTCTCGTCCTGGGCAATTTTCTAACGGTCCCTGGGCCCAAAAGCGGCCTCTCGACCGCCGGACACAGCTCCACGCCTCGATGCCTTCCAGGCGCTGGATGCCTGGGAACCCAGACCCCCGACGCTTTGATTTATCGTAACGGACCCCAAAGGTCGCACCCCTTCCCAGGGACCGGCTTCTCGCCCCGGGTCGTTTTTGACGGTCCCGAGGCCTGGCGGGGGCCGCCAGAGGCCGAAAATCGTGAAGAAGCTTCCGTCGTGATCTTCTCACAACGCGAAGGGGGTCTGGGAAGGTGGGCAGCCAGGCCTCCCCGAGCCGTCACAGGAAGTTGTCCAGGCGGACCATCATGTTGCGGCCCTGGAAGTCCTGCTCGTTCAGGGCGGCGATCGCCGCCTCGGCCTGCGCACACGCAAGGGGTCAGGCCGTCACCTTCCCACCGGGTCTCCCGGGACCCTGCCCGCCCGCCCCCCCCCTCCTCTGGCGCCTGACAGGTGCGCGCGGGCGCGCGCGCGCGTGTGTGTATGTGTGTGTGTGTGTGTGTGGTGGGCGTGTGGTGGGGGGGGGGGGCAGGGAGGAGGGAGGACGGAAGACGGGCGGGGGTGGGGGGTGGGGGGAGGACGGAGGGTGGGTGGCAACACGGGGAGGAGGAGGAGGAGGAGGAGGAGATTCTGGAGATTCTGCCTGATCGCGTAGCGATTGGATGAAATTAAAGATCCGCTACCCTCCGTGGGGTGCGTTGGTCTCTGGCTTCGCGCTCAGCTCGACTGAGAGCCTTAGGCCAGAGTCCCTTGGCGATTCTCCGCAGGTAGGCAACGCCTGTCGGAGTTGGGGTCTCGCACCGACCCCCGAGTTTCCCGAGAAGCTGGTTTGCGTATGACCCGCAGACGGAACAGAACCAAAGATTCAGCCCAGCGTGGAACCTTAAAGTGTGTGTCGGGTCAACATATCCCCCTGCGACGTGTACCTGTTTCCCAAGAGGAGCCATCATATAGGTGCCATCGACATTACATAGGTCGAAACATTCGCTAGCAAGCCATTGGGCCCTTGAGGCCAGCGTGGTAGTGGTCCTACAGCGGGTGCACTTGGATCCACAGAGGGCTACAGAGTGCTGGGACTGGAACAGGGCACAAACGCGGGGGGCGGGTGGCCTCTGTGGGGCCACACCTTTCTGCCTCTTTGGGCGGAATTCCCCAGAGGATTGCTCGATATTCCTGGCGTGCTCAAGCGCTTCGAGAGATGTGCGGAGCAATCTCATGCGTACGAGAAAAGCCTTTTGCTCAATCAATGCGTATTGCTGTCTGTCGGAGGTAGGGATTCTGGCTGCCTGTGCTGCGCCTCCTGCGATCTCGTCCGCCACTGTGTTGCCGTAGGCGAGGGTGGCGGGGATCTTGCCCTGGAGGACATCCTGGGCACTCATGTGCGAGGGGATGTTCAGGATGGTGAGGGAGCCGCGGCGAGAGGAGATGTTACGTCCGAGTCGTGCCCATAGGTCGGCGTCTGGTCCGACTGGATTGTCCGTGTGTCCATTGTGGTAGTTGTTGTAGCAGCCCTCACTGTCGGTGAAGTAGACGAGGTCGTTGGTGATGCTCTCAGCTGCTACTACTAGGGCCATGAGTTCACCACGTATGACGGTCTGTCGGCTGCCCGCGAGAGGCCCCCAGGTTGCGCCCTGTAGCGGCATGTCGTGCTTATTGAGGTCGGCGAAAAAAGCGACACCTATGCCGATCCTCCTCAGGGGGGTGGCAGCAGTGTCGGGGCCGCCACTGGCGTCGCCGAAGGCGTATGTCGGGCGTCCTCCAACGTGGTCCATGCATCCTTCGTTGTGCTCGTTGCAGTTGAAGTGTTCCCATTGGTCGTGCTGTGGTGGTGGCGGGAGAGCTGTCCACTGCGCAGGTAGTAGGCCTCGTGTCCAGAAACACTCGAACATGGCTCGTTGAGAGGCAGCCTCTGCACAGAGTGTGTTGGAGGCGAGTATGATGTTGTTGGCGCTGTTGCCCTCGCACTCCCAGCATCGGTGGTAGTCATCCTCGTCGCTGGTTCCACAGCGTGGGCATGTAGTGGTAGTGGTGGTGGATGTTTCGGCGGCGACTCTGGAGCGTGTCCACATGGCACCCACTGCGATGGTGAGCATGAGGCTCGCGAGGCGTGCGCCGTCTGCGAGACTCTCGAGGTGCCGAAGAAGCCTGCGGTAGGAGTAGTTGTCGATTCCTTGCTGCATGCCCTCTCCGCCGTGGTGGGTACTGGCCCGCTGCCATTGTTGGTGCTGGATGCTGGCGTCGAGGTCATGAAATAATTGATGTGGGATGTCGGCGTCGGGGTGTCCTGTGAGCCGCTTGGCGTCGAACTCCCATGTGTCTCCGCAGTCGGAGAGTGCTGGCGGGAGGCGCCATTTGTTGGGCTCCAGTGGTTCCCAGTCGTGCTGCATGAGGTAGTGGATGATGGTCGATTGTGGCCCACGTATGTGCCGTACCCGTACATGTGGCGGCATGGTCTTGAAATTGGTGACGACGGTCTTCCAGGTGGCTTGAATAACACGTTGGAGGGGTCCTCCTTGTATCCAGGTTGTGAGCCATGCCTTGAGTGCGTCGTGTGGTAGTTTGCGGGCTGGGTCATGAGCGCGTAGGTCAAGTAGGGTAGTGAGGCATCTTCCTCTTAGTCGAGGTCCCACTGCGTCACCGACGCGTCGGCGGTAAGTGGTCATAGTCGTGCCGAATGCGCCGTAGACTTGGTGTCCGTAGGTGACTGCTGGCATCCCTCCTTGTACTGCGAGCTTGGATGAAATACGATACCGACGTGTGGCACGTGTGAAGCGAAGTATCTTCTGGTGCATGGCGTCGTGCTTGCGACGTCGCTGGGTGGTGGTGCGTCGTGCATGTCGTATACCGCAGCCGAGGTCGATGCCGAGATAGCTGGCCTGGGTGTTGGCGCGGATGGGGAAACCCTTCCTTCTCATGGCGTTGGCAATGTATCTGGCGTCGTCGTGGTGTGTGCAGACGATGACGCTCTTCTTAGCAACGTTTAGGCCCTGGTCCTGGAGCGCCGTGCAGGTGTCGGCGAGGCAAGCTACCATGCGGCGGCGTAAAGCTCGTCGGCTGGCTTGCAGGCGCTGCGACAGGTCGTCGACCCAAATGCGGTGCTGGAGGTCGGGGTAGTGATGTGTGATGCACTGTAGTGCCTTGTAGGTCATGATCTTGGCGAAACGTGTACCTGAGCGTAGTCCCTGTACGACAGAGCGTGTGGGGTGGAGTGCTTCCGCATACGCACCGCTCTGCATGAGCGAGCGCGGGGCGGTGCACTGCAAGATCTCCAGTCCGAGAACTTCAGGTGGGAAATTGAGGTCGAGCGCGTCGTTGATGAGGGTGACCCAGTGGATGGAATCGTAGAACTGGGCGATGTCCAGTAGCCCGTGCGCCTGCGGGATGCTGAGGTAGGTCGAAAGTTCCTCGTGCAGGCACCTTTCGTACGCCCCACGGAAGGCCGAGTTGCCTTTGGCTATGGCGTCCCAGTGTGCGAAATAATCTCGATTCCACTGTTGTACATGTTCTTCACGTGCCATGGACCACAGTCGTGCAACCATCGTCATGAGGCCGAGGATGCGGTCACCGTTGTCCTTCTTGGCCCGCATGACACCGATGGTGTGTAGGAGTTGGTGTGGCCAGGCTTGGAGTCGTTCCGCTGTAGTAAGTAGGTCGGCCAATTCCTGGAGTGCCTCTTGAGGGAGCCGCTGGAAATCTCCAGGTCGTAGACGGTCGGCACCAAGCGCGGTGTTGGCCTTGAGGCGGGAAGCGGCCCGTCGGAGGTCGTCCGCGGTGAGCGCGGGGAGTGGGCACTCCTGGATGCGGTCGACGATGCGTTGGAAGGCGGCCTCCAGGCTGTGGTAGTCGACGTCGTGGGGGGCCCACAGGTCGGTCCAGGTCTGTATCTTCTGGTCTATGAGCTCCTTGGGGTGCATGATGGTGCCTCCGTCGGACAATGTGACCTCTGCTGGCTGTGGTTGGGGCCGTAGGGAGCGATGGAGTGTTCCCAAGGCCTCGGGCGTGGTTGCCCACTCGCTGAATGCACGAACGGACTTGCGTATTGCCCGTTGTTGGGCTCGCTTGGCAAGTCGGTTGGCTCTGGTTGCGTGTGCCACGATGTGGCCGTCGTCGGCGTGCTCGATCTGCTGCAGGAAAAGGATCCACTGGTCCCAAGTGCGGTCGTCTTTGGGTGTGACGATGCTGGCTGCAGCTGGGGGTGGTGAGTCAGCGAGGCGCCGTAGGTCGCGATACAGCTGCTGGAGTTGCAGGTGTCCGTTCCTGCGGGCTCGATGTCTGTGCGCGTTCTGGAGTAGAGTGTGAACGCGTGTCCACCAGTTGCTGGAGAAATCGGCGAGAGGCGCTCTCCTCTTGCACTGTAGCTCGCGGACAACTGTGATCTGGTAGCTGGGTCCTGTGGCGCGGCTGACGCCAGTGAAAGGTATCTGGTGGTGTGTGTGGAAAGTGGCCTCGACAGTCGTGGCCCAAGAGCCGTAGGCCTGCCCAAGCTGAAGGGTCAAATCAGGCTTGAGCCGAAAAGCTACGGAAGCAGTGGCTGCAGGGGCAGGCATCGTGCAGCTGGCTGGCAGGGCACTGATTTGTTCCCGAGAGGCGCTCCAGCGCAAACTGGGGATTTCGAAATCCACGGCGGTAGAACTAAACTCCCCAAATCCTGGGCACGGTTCATTGGGGCCAGGTTGGGGAAAATTCGTGGATTTGGAAAAACTGTCTGGCATGGTCTCCTCGGGTACGACAGGCACGTCAGGGGGGTTCTCACGCTGGGCTGGTGAAAAAGTCTCTGACTGTTGGGCGGGATGAGAAGAAGGGGCAACGGGGACAGAATCGCGGGCGGAGAGAGCAGCGGGCAGCCTGTCCCGGGCGGCGGGCGTGTCTCTCGGGGCGACACCACTAGAGGTCTGAGGCAGAGAGGCATCGGCTGTGTATTCACCGTGTGCCGAGATCCGCGAATCACAAAGATGAACGGATGAAGCATCGGAGGTGGATGAAGCGAACGAGCCGAGCGAGCACTGTTTTGTCTCCTCGCGAGCGGGGTTCGAGACAACAGGCGGCACGGCTGGCCAACAACTCGTCTCGTGTGCCCACGGGTCTTCCTCCTCGGAAAGCTGGGCTGAATCGACCTCGTCGCCCTCTGATGTGGGGCTGTCGCCAGCACTGGTGGACTCGGCGTCGGCATCTTGGCCTTCGCTGGTCCGTAAATCTGCAAAGAGAGTGGCATGAAGAGACTGTTTTCTCTCGGTTGCCTTCTCCATGCGGGCTGCTCGCTGGGCTCTGGCAAGGCTTGCCTTAGACCCAGTAGTAGCAGCCTTGCGAGGGCGAGCGACGTGTGGCAAGCACCTCGGGAGCTGAAGAATTCGCGTGAGCAATTGCTCGCCAGACTGGATGAGCTGGAGACGCAATCCAATGTGGGGCTTCCACGGGACATCTAACACTGGCGAGAGGCTGGCCAGGTATGGGCGGGCAGCAGCACTGTGAACGAGAAAGTCCAAATGCGATGGCTTACGTCCTCCACCTGGGTCACATGTGTGTTCGACAGATGCGCACATGATCTCTCCTTGGATCTGTGCTAGGAAACCTGACTGAGTGAGTGCGGCAGGGCTAAGGTTCCAATCGGCAATGACAAACCAAGGGAGCTGGAGGGAGCGAAGAAGGCTCCCGAGCTTCCTGAAACGGGTTAAATTGGGTCCTCGCATGCCGACACTGCAGAATCCATAGAAGAGAACTGCAACAATAGAATAGCCACGGAGATGGAGGACAATGGGCAAAAAACCGTCGAGGGAGGGGTGAGGGGAAACCTGTAGGTCCTTGGACTGGACCGCCTCGAGGAGAGGGTGGGCATGGAGATGCCCTCTGGGGAGAAACCATTCTCCACCCTCATTCGCGTGTGAAACTGCGGACATGGATTCAGCCTCTAGATGGGAATCAGCAGTCCACCCTTCAGAATCAGCACGTGATGTGGGCCGAGCGAGGTTGGCGAATAGCCTGCGATTGATGGACCTGAGCCTCCCCTGCCACTGTGATACACTGGCTGCATTGGCGTGGGTCTCGACAAAACCGATGTAGTCGTCACTGCTGGCCTGAATCCACTCATGGACTTTCTCACCGAAGCAGGTGACATTGCTGAAGAAGAAACTACTAGTACTGGTAGGAGAGTTGGCATCACCTTCCCCCGTGATGCTGGGGTCACCTCCGCCTAGTCAATGCGAGGTGGCTCGCTTGGTGGCGGTGGAGCGGCCGTTCCCTTTGCCTGCCTTCTGGGCGGCCGTCTCGGGGGCAGTGTCCTTGTTCGTGGCGGCGTGGGCGGCGAACTTGGCGGCGGACAGGCGAGCGGCCTCGGCAGCCAGCGCAGCGTCATCCTCCTGCTGCTGCGCCTGCGCCTGGGCGGCTGCGGGTGGCGGCTCGCCTCCAGCGTCGGCGGCCTCGCCTGCGCTGGGGGGCTGTCCGCCGCCAGTGTGACCGCCAGCGGGCGGGGCAGCACCAGGCGTGGTGCCGGCTTGGCCGTCGTCGCCCTTGCGCTTCTTCTGGTAGCGTGCCTCGCGTGCCTGGCGCACGGCTGTGGCGCGGCTGATGAGCTCCTGTACCTGGGGGCCCTTTGTGGCGAACTGCTGCTTGAGCTCCTCGAGCCCCTTCTTGACGGCGTTGAGCTCCTGCTGCTCGGTGTCGGTGAAATCGAGCTCCTCGATCTGCTGGAAGAGCGTGGGGTCCCAAGAGACTGTGAAAGGCGCCTCGGGTGGGTGGTCGGGCTTGCTGGCGGAGTTCTTGACGTCGTCTGGTTGTCCGACTCCTTCGGCATGTGCCAGCGCCTGGGCGGCCTTGCGCTTGGCGGCCTCCGTCTTGGCGACCTCGAGGGCTGCCTCGGCCTCCTTGGCTTCTGCCGTGGACAAGGCCTGGCGGAGCCGCACGACGTTGGCCACGACCTGATTGTGGTGGTTGACTGCACTACGCCACGTTCCGTCTGCCTTCCTCATGGCCTCCACCTCGCTGACCTTGGGCTCGGTCTCCTGGGCACCGAGGCGCTGCATCTGAGCAGCGAGGATGGCCCGCAAGGCGGGGTCGGTGGCAGCCGCAAGTGCCTGGCGTAGGTGGCTGGCGAGGGCGCCGTTGTCAGCACTCGGCGTCGCCGTCTCATGGCGAGGGGCGGCTGGCGGCGGCGTGTCGGGGTCGATGATATCCTCGGGCCCGAACCTCACCTGGCTTGGCGAACGAGAGCGGCTGCGATGCATGCGCACGGGCCGATTGCAACGTGGGCATGTGGGGGCCAGCGGGTCGAGGCGGTCGTTGTACTCGCACGTGTTGCAGCCGCGGCAGCGCGTCCATGGCCGCGATGAGGAATGCCAGGCAGCCGTGCCGCGGGCAGCCTGGCTGGTGCTGCGCAGCGGCGGTGCGCGGGTGCGAGCCATGAGCCCCAGCTTTGGTCGACCGTAAAACCTGCAAGGGAGCGGGTGCACGGAAGTCCCTCAAGCACCTCGCGGAGGTACTGGGGCAGCCCTGGGAAATGGGGGCCAGGGCCGAAGTGGCTTGAGAGGAGGAGGAGGAGGAGGAGGAGGAGGAGGAGGAGGAGGAGGAGGAGGAGGAGGAGGAGGAGGAGGAGGAGGAGGAGGAGGAGGAGGAGGAAGACGAGGAGCAGGAGGAGCAGGAGGACATGGGTGATGATAATGATGGTGATGCTGCTGATGCTGCTGCTGCTGTTGATGATGATGAGGATAATGATGATGGTGATGATACTGCTGCTGATGATGATGTTGTTGGTTATGATGGTGATGATGATGCTGATGATGAAGGTGATGCTGATGCTGCTGATGATGCTGATGCTGATGATGATGGTGGTGTTGCTGGTGATGGTGGTGGTGATGGTGATGATGAGGAAAAGAAACCGAATCGAATCGGGTCGGGTCGAGCCGAGGACAAGGAGGAGCCGGAAGACGGCGAGGAGTCGGATGGAAGAAGCGGATGGCCTTGAGCCCAAGGGTCCGTCCAGGCCGGGAGACCCAGCAGACCCTGCAGGCCTGGGTGCCCGAATGCATCATGCCCTAGTGCCTCGTGTACTTCTGAAAACAGAATGCCGCTTGCGGGGCGCGCGCTGGCGAGGCGGGGCCCCAGACCGCCGACGCCGCGACCTTTTCACAGCGTGGGCCCCCAGAGCTCCCGCCCGGGGACCAGTACACTTCATGGTGCTCGTCGTCGTCATCGTCTTCGCCCCCTCCCCCCACCGCCCCGCCCCCCGCAGGGCGGCTATGGCTACAAAGGCGGCCCGCCCCGTCGTCGTTGTCGTCGTCGTCGTCGTCGTCGGCGTTATCCTCGTCCTCGTCGTTGCCGCAGTGCTCCTCCTCCCCGCCTCCCACGCGTCGCCCTCCTCATTTCCTTGCTCCTGCCTCCTGGGCCTGAGGGACCCGGAGCGTCAAGCAGCCCGCGCGAACGCGGGCACGAGACAGGCACGCTGCATCGCGGCACTGGGAGGTTGGCAACGCTAGGGGTGATACATATATATATATATATATATATATATATATGTATATATATAATATATATATATATATATATATTCATATTTATATATACATATGACACGATGGAGATGGTCAACTGCATGAGCATGATGGGGGGGAGCAGGTGCGACTGATCCCCTCTTCTCCCTCTGCCTCTCCCTCCCTCATTTCCCTCTCCCTCCCCTCTCCGCCCCACTTGGTGGCAACTCATGGGAACCTCCCATGCCATGTTGCTGGCTCTTGCGAATCGACGCTGACCGAGGCTGAGTCTGTGCTTTCTCATCGGCTACCAGAGGCTACCGCACGCGAATGCACTCTAGAGGCGGAATTCCGAGGGTATGTGAAGCTCCCACTCGCCTTGACGTTGCTTTCGACGCAGCGCTCCGGGACTATCCACCATCTGCTGAATCGGTTCCCGAAGCGCATGGGGTGATTCTTGAAACGAGCATCAAGTTGCAACTGGTCTTTTCCAGCCTTGCGTGGCTCGTGGTACTGAGCCTCCAGCTGAAATGCTTCCTGCTGAAGAGCTCCCACATCCTCTTGACGGTCACGGTCGGGAGCGTGATGGTGATTTTTGCCGCAGCACGCCCTGTTGGTGCAACTCATCGCGATGACATGCGCCTTGCTGTTTGTGCCAGGGCCGGCAAGGTCAGGAACAGTGGCAAAGACCCATGAGGTGGGGGAGGAGGAAGAGGTGGAAGTGGAGGAGGAACGGGGAGGAGGCATGAGGCGGAGGAGGACGATATATGATGATGATGATAGTGATGATGACGATGCTGATGATGCTGATGATGTTGATGATGATGACGATGCTGCTGCTGATGATGATGGTGATGCTGATGATGAGGATGATACGGAGGATGATACTAATGATGATGCTGATAATGATAAGGAGGAGTAGGCGGAGGGGGATGATGATGCTGCTGCTGTTGATGATGATGAGTATCCTTATCATTATTTTACTAGTATAACTGAATTTCTTATTATGGTGGTGATCGTGATGATGACGACGATGCTGACGACGATGATGATGGTGATGATGCGGATGATGATCAGGCTGACGATGACGATGACGAGGATGATGATGTGTCTCGCCTCGTCCTCCTTCTCCATGAGGACTGAAGCATAGCCCTTGGATCTTCCGTCGAAGTCCTGCGCGATGTCGACGCTGATGACCTCGGCGGGTGCTCCTCTCCGCGTTGTCCTTCCCTCCCTCCCTCTCGCCCTTCGCCTCCTCCTCCCTCCCTGTCTGTCTTCCTGTCGCCTCTCCTGCTGCTCATTTTCGTCTTCCTCCTCCTCCTCCTCCTCAGCCTCCTCCTCCTCTTTCTCCTCTCCTCTCCTCTCCTCTCCTCTCCTCCTCCTCCTCCTCCTCCTCCTCCTCCTCCTCCTCCTCCTCCTCCTCCTCCTCCTCCTTTCTCTCTCTCTCTCTCGGCCTGAAGGTCGTTTTGACGCGGCCCTCCCCCCCTCAGGGGCGTTTGCGCCCGAAGGGGCTTGATCAAACCAGTGCGCCAAGCGACTCCCGAGGCGGTCGCCCCTGGCGTCGCCGGCTGTGGGGAGGAAACGTAGCGGTAAGGCAGCAGTGGACGAGGGGAGGGGGGAAGAAGCAGGACTTGGAGAGCTCATAGCATGACGAGGGAAGAAGGACGTGGACGGGTGTGGCTGTAGGCGTTGGCAACCGCGTGGATGCAGGATGAGGCGTGAAGCGAGCAACCGGGGGCTCGTGGCGCTGCAATTCGCCTGCTGAGAGGGGCACGGAAGGGGTACCTGAGGGCGCTCTGTGCAGCGAGTGCAGCACGCGGCCGCGCTAGCCAAGGTAAGAAGGTGCAATGCCCTCTCTCCCACCGCCCGTATGGAAACCCGACGAGGTGGCCCCCAGCTCGAGCCCTGATACCCTCACTCACAGAGGCGGGCGACGGGTGCCAAGGGCCGATCTGAGGGCCTCCCAGGGTTCTCCACCAGGTGATGGGAGGTTCGTGCCCTTTTGTGGCGGCGACCGCGTGCGGTGAGCCTCACCCCCCTACCTGACCCAACCATTCCCCTAGTGAAAGCGGCGTGTGTTGCAGCTGGGAGGCAACTTGAGGAACTAAACATGTGGGGGGGGAGAGGCTGACCAGGCTGTAAGCGCGTCTGCGAGGTGGCGACAAAACGGCGAGGAGGAAAGGGCTGAAACAAGAAAGCGAGGTGAAAGGAAACTGAGGAATGGGTGAGTGCACGCGCGTGGTGGTGATAGTGAGGGCTGTGGTGCTCAGGCGCTGCTAGTTGCCCTGGCTGCGCTGGCCTTCGCCTGGTCAGTCGGCGGTAGCTGCCCCCTCCCGCTCCCGAGCCAGATCCTATATGCCGCCCCTTCGCCCCTGCGCTACAAGAGTGGGTGGGTGAAGATTAGTGGGGCGTGCAGTGTGGGGGGCCAGCTGGCGAGAAGATGGAACCAGGAGGGATTTTCAGGTTGGTAGAGTTGCTCTCAGCATCGCATACGCGGGTGAGGGAGCCAATGCGGTGGACCCACTGTGTCGCATAGTGTGCTGGCGAGGTTGGCGCCGTGGTGCAGAACGTGATTTGAACGCCGTCGTATGTGCTTGTGAACGAGAGAGGCGAACATGCTGCCATCGCCGTGAGGTAGGAATTGGAAACTGCGATGAGTGCCCAGCTGTTGCTGCTGCTGCTGCTGCTGCTGCAAGGACAATGATTGCGGCGGTGAATGGCAAGAGTAGCGCCGAGGCTGGAGATGGGAAGGGGGCAGCTGGTGGTGTCTATCTTCGTCGTAGGAGAATTCGATCGTCTGCTGTCGTTGGAGCAAAATTGGTAAACTGATGGTAAGAATGACGCACTGACGGGCCTCCCATCAGGCAGGCCCCGTCTTGGCATGAGGGTGGTGTACGCCTCGTGTGTGCTTAGCTGCTTGCTGTGAGAGATGAATGGTGCGGGGCCCGACTTCTCAGAGAAGAGCGGGTGGACGGGCCAAGCGGGGTGTACCGATGTAGACCAGGCCAGGCGTGGGCCTTTCGCATTGTCGGCAGTGTCCTCGTCCTCGCCTGGGCGTGTGTACAGCAGGCTTGCGTGGATGTCGCTGTTAGAAATGTAGCGTCGTGCTTCTTCTTCTTCTTCTTCTTCTTCTTCTTACCGTGTTCCACCAACAGCAAAAGATCACCGTGCGACAGGCGGCGCATTGGCCACTCATGGTTCTTAAACGATCTCTGGAATTGGAGGTGAAAGCCGCAAAACTGCGCAAAGCAAGTGAAGTCCTCTCTCTTATTTACAACCAGGCCAGGAAGAGAGGAATGAGGAGGAGGAGGAGGAGGAGGAGGAGGAGGAGGAGGAGGAGGAGGAGGAGGAGGAGGAGGAGAGGTTGAAGGAGGGGGGAAGCCCGAACCCATAGCCCTGGTTGTCTTAACTAAGGTAGAACTCCTCCTCGCTGATGTCTGTGACCGCTTGGATGTCGAAGCGAACGACGGGGTACCTGGCGTTGTAGATGGCATGCTCGCTGTTGATCTTGCTGCTGTCGGTGATGATGATGCGGGTTGGCGGTGGGAGCAGCAGAACGATGCCTTTCAGTGGCGACGTCGGGAAGGCGTACTGCGCCTGTATAATGTCGCGGAGGCGCTTGTTGGTCAGTCTCGAGCCCATCGAGAGGGGCATCCTTCTGATGGGAAGGTCGGCCGCTGGCAACATGTGGTAGCTGCTCTCGCTGGGAGTACTGGTGGTGGGGCTCTTCTCTCGGTGTAGTCCGTCCCCTGGTGAGGTGCGGTGTCGGTTGGAAGGGTTGCTGGTGCGCTGCTGTCTCGTGGGGCCCGTCCGTGGTCGGATGGGTCGTCCTCGTCGTCTGGGCCTGGCCGAATTGGCTGGGCCTCTGAGTCTGCCAGTAGAGCCGCGTCCTGGCTGTTGATCAGGTCGTTCATCTGTTCGATCTGGTGGTTGGCGATGTCCCTCTGGTGCGCTGATGTCGCAAATGGCGTCGGCATGCCCGTGGGAGTGTAGCGTGCTCCCAGCTTGATGTGGTTGAGGGTGTCCCCCCGCTCGATCTTGGCGTAATACGGGTTAGGCCGGACCATGCGGTCGTTGGCCACCGGGTATGAGGTGCTGCTGCAGATCTGGTGGATTATGAAGCGCGCCAAGGTTCTCTGTTTGTCCGTCATGCCGAGGCTCCCGAACGGGTAGGCGGGTCGGTTGGCAGCCTTTCCCAAGTAATTGTCCACCGATCTGAATAAGCAGATCATCACCAAATCTACTCCATGCAATCGTTCACGTATGGGGCGGTATTCCAATCTTAGGTCTCCTCAGAGTCGCTAGTACCGTTCACGGCCTCCTTGATCAGCTTGTGGACGTGTATCGTGCATAGTGGCGTGGTGTGGTCGTACTGGGTGCTGCTGATGGTGCTGGTCAAGCGCCCAATGACGTCGCGCTGGAGTTCAATGGTAGGTGAGCCTGGGCGGATGCCAGCGTGCGGCTCCTCAACAAGTGTCGGCGACCCCTCGTAGACCGTGGCCATGCCTGCCGGGGTTGGTGGTCTCGCAGCTTTCTTTGCTGGCCGGGCGCCTCGTCTGGTGACGCGGCTTCCGTGCTGCTGGCTGTGTAGCTCCCGTCACGGCTCGGTGGGATGGGCTTCGGCGGTGGCTTGGCAGGGGCTGCCTGTCGGTGCAGAGTGGCTTGGCCTGGTCTTTGCCCGTCTATGCTCGTTTGTGCTGAGGTTCCTGCCGACGGCTGTCGGGGGCAAGGCACTCGCCTTGGGCGGGGTTCCCTCGTGTGGTGGTGTTGCGTTCCTTTGTGCCGGTGGTGGCTTGCACATAAGTTGGCGTTGGGGCTTTCCAGCGCCTTCCGCCGGTGGCAGGCGTGTTGCCCGGGGGGTCGTGGGCAGTTGGAGTGTCGAATGGTTGGATGTTGTCTGTGTGGGGGTTGGTCTGCTCCGCTGTCGGTGGCGGTCCGTCGGCAATCAAGTTGGCGAAGTCGAGGGTGTATCGCTGGATCACGTCGTGGTCGGCTTGCTGATGTTGGGCTGTCGTTGGGAGGTTCTGGGGGTCTGGACGGTTGGGATCTGGTCGGGTGGGTTCGCGTGCGTCGGTCTGGGGGCCCCTTGTGGGTTCGCGGTCTGGATCTCGTTGATCATCCTGGTGATGAATTCTGGAGTCATCATGAAGACGCTCAGGTTCTGCATGATGTCTTCAACGTAGGTTCTGGCCAGCGAATTCCCAATCAGGTATTCAGCCACTTGCTCCAAGTTAATAGCGGTGATGGTAGTCTTGATCGCGTCGATGTTGTGCTTGTAGCGTCTGCCCTGATGGTTGTATTTCGTCACGTGCTCGTCAATCGCTGAGATGTCCACGTAGACCGATCTCGCTGGTGGTCTCGCTGGTGGTGATGCCGATCTTGGCTGCGGGGGCGGTGGTTGCTGCCGCTCTCCACGTGGGACCAGCGGAGGGTTTCTCACCATGTTGCTGTTGCCGTCGCAAAAGAAGTCCTCGCTGTCGGCTGTGACACCTCTCTTCCAAAAGCTCATGTGGAGGAAACTGCTCGGATCTCCCCCCCTCCTCCCTCCCTAGAGAAACGAGCAGCGGCATAAACATAACTCCTCGGAGCTTCGCGTGGACATCTTGGATCGGCGCTGGGCTCCCCCCGGCGGCGCCTCCGGCGCCGCCCCCCCCCCCCCCATCCCTCCACTTCAAGGGCCGTATTTCGGGGCCGTTGTCCTGTACTTCCGCCAGCCTCCGCAGCCTCTCTGCCGCCCCTCTCCTTCCTCCTTCCTCTCCTCTTTCCTTCCTCCTGTTCTCCGCCCTTTTCCTTCCTCCTCCCTCCCTCACTCCAAGGGGCCGCGTCTGGGGCCGTTGTCCTATCTTCGGCGCGACACGCTATCCATGTCCCAATCCCCGAGCGTCAACGTCCCGAGCTACTTCCAGCCTCCCGCCGGGGCCGCCTCCGAGACACGCTACGCAGCATCTCCCTAACGTACCTCGAAGATTGACAAGCTAGAGGGCGATGGCAATCTCAGGGATGTGCCCTCTCAGAAACTGGGCGAACACCCGAGCACGGCACCGGGAGCAGACGGTGCCAATCTTAGTGAAGGGGCCCTGGGACACACAAACAAATATACACAAATAACATGATTCCCCATATCTTTCCATATCTTCTATGGTTTTCGTCTTCCCCCTCCCCACTTCCCATGGTGTCCCATAGTTTCTGGGGGCTCGACGATTACTTGTGTCTGTGTGTGTTTTTTCCCTCCTGACTTAGGGGTAGCGGTGTGTTTCAGGCTGGCGGCGGCGTGCCGCCTCGGACCCCCCGACCTCCCAGGCCTCGCGAGCAGAGCAGGCAGGGGCGGCAGCTCCCCGGGCGTGCCCGCGCCGCGAAGCAGCCGAGAGCACGACGGGAATGCTTGGGCCGCCTGCGGCCCCCGGGGGCCCTCGCTGGGCCTCGGGACCGCAACGATCAAGGGGCCCTGGGACACACAAATAAATACACACATGACAGGATGCCCCATATCTTCATGTATTTTCGGGTTTTTTGTCTTCCCCCCACTGCCCATATTTTCCTTTTTTTCCTGGGGATCGACGATTAATTGTGTCTGTGTGTTTTTTCTCCTCCTGAAGCGAGAACGACTCGGGAGGAACCAGCCATGGGGAAGAGGGCCGGGACTTCCGGGGACCCCGTCTTCTGGCGGCGCGCAAGAGGGGGGTGAGGGGGAGGGGGGAAGGCTTCTCAGAAAGAGGCTCCTTCTCAGAAGGCGCCGGCCCTACATCTACAGCCAAGGCCAGCGCCTTCTCAGAAGCAAGGGTGCTTCTAAGAAGCCTTCCCCTCTCCCCCCCCCCGCGCATGGCTGAGTTTAAAAACACATCCAGACATCGGATATCGGGGTCGTCGCCCTTCCCGAACCCCGCCCGGGGGGGCGCTCTCGTGGCAGGGGGGGGGGCCGTCGGACCACGATCTGGGACGAGAGGCGGGTCCCCGCAGAGGGAGGCTCGAGAGGTCTGGGGCCGCGCACGGGACAGGCGCGCCACGAGGTCGGCCGCCCGGGAGACGCTGGCCCAAGGTGCCACGGCCGCGGTGCCAAGACGCGACGCTAAGGCCGCGAGACGCTGGACCGCGGTGCCAAGACACGAGGGCATGTTTCCCGTGCTGCAGCATCCCAGATGTGGGGGGCCGCTGCCACCCTGGTCGTGCCTCGTGCCCTCGAACCTGGCGGGCGGCCCAGCGTCGTCCCGGGCCTCCCTCGGCGATGCGCGGCGGGGCCTTCCCGTACTGCTTGAACACGTCCTTTATCTCCTGCCACGAACAGCGGAAGGGCAGGTTACCTGGCGGCCGCTCCATCTCTTCGGGGGGGTGGGCGCGCGCGGTGGGCGACGGCGACGATGACGAGGATGCTGCTGCTGCTGATGGCGCGGCTGGTGAACGCAATGGTGATGATGCTGGTGATTCGGATGATTACAACTGGGCTGGGGAGGGTGATGGCGATGCTGATCATGACGATGATGCTGATGCGGATGAAGAAGATTATGATGATGCTGATGATGCTGATGATGATGGTGGCGATGATGGCAAAACGCTGCTGCTGATGCTGATGGTACTGGCGATGACTGCGGTGGTAATAATGATAGTGATGGTAGTGGCGATGACGGTCATGCTGAAAATGTTGATGATGGTGATGGTGATGACGGTGCCGACGATGCGTTTAACGAAGATGATGTTGACGATGCCGATGCCGATGCCGATGATGACGCTGATAATGATGCTGACGATGCTGATGATGCTGATGATCATGATGCTGCTCATGATGGTGGTGATGCTGATCATGGTGGTGATGTTGATAATGGTATATTGGTGATGGTGACAATCTTGATGGCGACGACGACGATGATGATGACGATGGTGGTGATGATGACGATTATGCCGATGATGCTGCTGGTGGTTATGATGATGGTCATGATGAGGCTACTGATGAATCAGATGATGATGATGCTGATGATGATGACGATGATGCTGATAATGATGATGATGATGATGATGATGATGATGATGATGATGATGGTGGTGGTGGTGGTGGTGATGATGATGCTGTCTTTAGAGCTAGGGGCAGAGAGTTCTAGATCACCACGGATACAACATTCTCACGGACATCGCACCATCATCACGTGACCCGTGGGCCCTGGAGGCCCATGGGCTGCTGCAGAAAGTCAGGAACGCCCTCGGGCTTTCAACCAACGAAAGCACGGCATGCGTTAAACACTATAAACTGTTTAGATGGGTTGGGCTGGCGGCGGGAGCGCAAAAGTCGGCAGCTACGGAGAGCTGGCGTAAGAGCAACACCCAACTACTGCTCGCGACGGCCAGCGCCACGGAGGCGAGGCGCGGTTATCAGAGCACCCGCGCGAAGAGACACTGTACGGGGACCGACACACTGAATACAGAGCAGCGACAAACTGGGTTCCCTGACCTCGTTCATGTGTACGCGCTCCCATGTTGACGTCAGAGCTGGGGGAGGATAACTACACGTCTTCACATGTGCAATCCACTCATGAGCACCACACCGTCGTCGCGATGGCCTGTGGGCCCTGGAGGCCCATGGGCTGCTGCAGAAACCAAGTTAAGAAAGGACTGTGGCTTTCGACTCGTCGGGTTCGGCGGGTATCCTCGCGGGCTCCAGGGGTTCTTCGGGCTCCTCGTGTACCCAGGGTTCCCCGAAAATTAACCGCATTCCTCGGGTTCCTCTCGTTCCTCGGGTTCCCTGGGTTCTCCGGTGAAGCAATGCCAAGCAATGCCACGAACTGCCAAGCAATGCCCAGCAATGCCAAACAATGTCAAGCAATGGCAAGCACTGCGCCCAAGCAATAGATACTTTCACCTAATTGGGGCCGGGCTGGGTTATATTTTCAATGTGTTCCGAAATGACAGCAATCTGCAACAACCGCCTGGACAAAACATTGACCAAACATGTCTAGAAACCTACGCGCTAAATCCATATAGCGGCTATGTGGGCTCTCGAATACCCACGGGATCTGAGCAACATTACAAGCCGCGATGCTTTTCAGTACCGCGCGCAAGCAACGATTTCCTTCCTGGGGCTTTGCCCAATCGGAGGCCGAGACTTCATGTCTCGGAAAACCCTAGGTGCGATCAACGCTTCGGATTGGGGCTGACCGCGCCTTGGCAATCAAAAACGAAAAACAAGGAGGAACCAGGACCACGCCGCGGCATCTCCGAACCATTTTACCACTCGTAAGAAGAGCACACGAGCGTGCGTCAGATCACCATGGTCTCCCAGGCTCTTCTCCCAGACTCGCGACTGAAAGCCTGAGCGGCAAATCGCTCGCGCCGCGCCTCCGTTGCCTGCAATAGCATCGGCGAAGCGACACACGAATCGAGTCGGCCTCCCCTGAGCGGCAACGGGACGACTAGCCCGTTGAGAACGATCGCCTCTGCGCGTTGTTCGCACTCGGCAGCGTACATATGAACTTCGACGAAATGGTTGCGGTAACTGCTGGCGAGACGTGCGTGCCGCTCGTAGCGAGAAACGCTCGTCGCTACTCCACTGGCCCCTCTTTTTGACGCCCACGAGACTCCTGAACCTAGAGCTGCATCTATCGAGGGGCCGGACTGGCGGGCTCGGTAGGTCGCCAGGCGGATGACTCCCATGTCTTTGGCCCCCCGGCGGAAGCCAGCCAGCTCGCCGCACTCGAACTTCCACAATGGCCCGTCGCCAGCTTGGGTCCTGAGCCGCTGCGGCTCTGGCCCAGGCCAACTGGCCTAGCTCGAGTCCGGCATGGCCGACGCATTGGCGTCTCCGATCTTGCTCTTCGACGCTTGTTCCTCGGGATGGGCCAGCGGCGACCGCGGCGTTGTGGCCCCAGGGGTCGGCGGCGCCAGGCCCGAGCCTTGCGCGCCCAGCAGCTGACTGCGATCGCGAAGATGGCCACATCGAGCTTGCCCGCCTGCATCATGGCATTCGCGAGCCCGAACCAGATGCCTGGCGCTTCTGGCTTCCGCGAGCGGCCAGGGCGTAGCTTGTCCCAACTGCGCGCGCAAGGCCCTTCATGCTCGCGGCAGCCAGCGGGGCCCCAGGCGGTTGCAGGTTGGGCGGGGGCGCGACCGGCCCGCCGAGGTCTCGGAGCCTCTCGACGCCTGCGCCCCGGCGAAGAAGTTCCACTCGAAATATATTGGGCGAAAAGCTTGCCCAGCGCAGAGTCCTCCGTGAGCTCCGCGTCAGGGCCCCGCTCCATCGCGAAGGAGAGGAACCAAGCGACCTCCAGCTTGTGCTCGAGATGCACTGGTCTTGTCGCGGCCGCCTTCGCCAGCATCGTGAGGCCATCGCCATTGGCCTCCACGGCCTCCCCCAGACACTTGCGAAGTCTTGGAGCGGTCCGTCAGCTGCCGCTGCCGGCGCGTGCCACCTGCCTCGGCGACGGACGCCGCCCCGGTGCCGGGCGAGGGCACGCGGCCGCGGCGGGCGACGACTCGGCGGACGCGCGCCGCAGCCGCCCCTCTCGCGCTGCAGCGCGGCTGCCGGAGCCGCCGGCGCGCGCCCTCTCGACCCGCTCGCCTTGTACTCCTGTGGCGGCGCCCCCGCCCCCGACCTCGGCGTGGGGCCCCGCCCTCGCTCGGTCTCGTTCGGCGGCGGAGCTCGGGCCCCGGGCGGGGCGGACAACGCGCGCGGGCCCTTGCGGCAGCCTCCTCTCCGCTCGCGCCCCTGGCCCCTGAAAGAAGGGCCGCGGCTGGCGCGCCCGGCCGGCGCTGGCGGCGCCCGCTTGCGGGGGGGCTCTGTCTGTGCCTGCGTGGGCTCGAGAATGAGCGACAGGATGCGAGGGCCCCCTTTGGGGCTCTGCTGAGGGCTGGTCCAGCTGTTCCCGCAACTGCGTCGGGCCCCCGTCGGCGAGGAGTGGGCGATTGAGGGTCGATGTGTCCCCCTGCGTCCATCCCCCCCAAGCTTGTCCCTGACCATGTCTCCAGACAATGGAGCCGCGGGATGTCCGGTGCCCTCCCAGACATATTCGGGCCTATGACTGGCCCACTTTGGAGGCGTCTCTGAAATCAGGGTGAAGAAGTCGTCGGGGAAAGAAAAATCCAGACCGCAGCAGCAAAAACTGCATGCATCCGATACGTTGAAAATTGTATGTCGGAGTACCCGCGCACGCGCAAGCGCCGAGGCGGCCGCGCGACCCTACCCAATCGCACCAGACATCGGACGTGGCAGCAGCTGCTCCCAGTGCCCAGCGGATCAACCTTGTTCCAACAAAAGCCGACGCACCAGCCCCATCCTCATTGTCCTCTTCGTCCTTTTCCTCGTCGCCGCCGCCGCTGCCGCCGCCGCCGCCGCCGCCGCCGCCGCCGCCGCCGTCGTCGTCGTCGTCGTCGTCGTCGTCGTCTTCGTCGTCGTCGTCGTCGTCGTCGTCGTCGTCGTCGTCGTCTCTCTCTCCCTCTCAACCGCAGCCTGCCGTTCCCTGTCCTCTCCCCCCCAACCTCCTCCCTCTTTCTCCCCCCCTTCTTCTCCTGGCCCTCATCATCCTCGTCCTTCATCCTCCGCCCCAGGCCGAGAAGTGTCGAAACCTTCCGCCGTATTTCTTTCACAGCGCGAGGGGATCTGAGGACGAGGGGGAGTAGGAGGAGGGGAATATGAGGAGGAGGAGGAAGAGGAGGAGGAGGAGCAAGCAAGCAAAAACTCTCGGGTGCAGTCGATGGTCGAGCCTCGACGCGAAAACAAAAACTTAGCACCTGAGTGGCGGCAGTGCCGCGACTTCCCTCACCAGCAGGCGCTGCTGGTGGGGGCACCACCTGAGGCCCTCGACCCGCCCTTCGGCTGGGGGGTGCCAGCTAGGGGGGTGATGGGCACCACCCCTACATATACCAAGTTACCTAGGCGGCCGAGCTCGAGGCCCTCGAGAAGATCGCCTCGGCATCGGCACGAACGAATCCGACAGGCTACGAATCGGTCGCAATCCAGGGGGACGAGAAGGAGGCTCAGAGGGAGGAGAAGCAGGGGACAAACATCCTCTCGCGACTAACTCGGCCAGCCTTTGACTACGGGCAAGATTCGGGGGGAGGTCAGACACGCTCGGCAGGACACAGCTGGAGCAAACCTCGGCCCCCCCTCCCCCACTTCTAGACAAAACAACGGCCTCAGACAAGCCCGACGTGCACAATCCTCCCTCACCCACTCTGGGTCCTTCGACCTGCCGAAAAACTTCACCCGCCTGTGCTCCGTCGACCTGATCATGATGGGCCTGCACTACTGATCGTCCTCTTTCTTCTTGCTGCTCTTCTCCCCCTTCTCGCCCATCCTCTCCGGGGGCCTCGACGCCTCTCTCTCGAGCGCGCCGCGGGGAGCTGGGCCTATTTTGCGCTCGGCGCCCACATGGCGGAGGTGCATCACGACGGCCTCCTCCGAAGTCTTGACCGTGCTGTCGACCGCGAAGGTCAAGCGCACACGCTCGTCCTTGGATTATACCTTCCTCGTCGGGCGCAAGCGGCAGTGGCGAACGTGTTCGCCAGCGCGCCCGAGGGGCATGGGCACGAGCACCTCCTTCCAGTAGGCCTCCACCGTTTTGCGGACCTCCGCGGGGCAGTTGGCGTCCTCTCCGATGGCGCGAATGATGCTGGACCACGCCTGGATGTACGGCGGGCCGAGGGTCTCGAGCTCCTCCTTGGCCTCCTTGCGGCGCTGCACCTCTGCGTGGTACGTCTGGCCCGCCGCGCGCCCCGCCTTGGCGATCGGCTTGTCGGCCTTGATAAGAAAAGTGATGTAGGCGACCCCGCGCGCGTCCCTGAGCTCGGCGCTGTTGACGAAACTCAACTTGGCGAGGATAATCACAAGCTGGTGCAGAATGTCGCCTCCTTTGGCCCGCGCCTGGGACACGACCTTGCGGCTCTTGTGCTCGCCGACGTTGTCTCTGTCGGCTCCGACCGCGACCTTCGCCATCCAGGCCGGCGCGCCCTCCATCGCATAAGAGTGGTGCAGGCGAGAGCGGGCGGGGCTGGAGATGTGCGGTAAGGTGCTGCTGGAGGTCCTGGAAAGAGCCTGTGGCGACTTCGCACAACGGACACTGCAGCGTCGGGGGCGTGATGAGAGGTGCCAGATTACGAGCAGCATGGGGCATGCAAAAACCCCGGGTACATGATGGCGCCAGATGTCTCCGACAAGTAACCTGGGAACTGAAGATAGTATGGCAAGCAGGACAACGGCTACTGATAGCAATACTATCTGCCACCATTATGTGTCCATGTCTAGCTACAATATGTGTATGAACCGCACGCCGATCAGGAAGTATAGCGTTACATACTTGACCATTTTTACATAGAAGCTGACATTGATAGTTTCCTTCGCGCCCAAACACCACCGTTGGAAGTTCAACCTGGGCGGGGGCCCGACTCTCAGGAGGCGCTACCGAAACCGAAAAATAGTAACTCCGAAGCTGTCGTATATCGATCCGTAGGAAATCCTCCTTCGCCTCCTCGCCCCGAAATAGCATTAGGAAGCGCCCGTCGAGATACTCAAGAAAGGCCCCCCCCCCCCTCATCCAGGACGTGCAGGGGCTCCGCATCTTCCCAGAACCTTCTGGCCCACGGGTGTGCAGTACTAGCTAGACGCCCAGAGGGGGTGAACGCGCTGACGAGGGGGCCCTTGCCGTCGCCGCCATGCGTGCCCAGCAGAGCCCCAAGAGCCTGTGCGTGTTCTTTTTGGTGCCCGACGAACTCCTGGAGAAGACGCAGTCATCGGATGCGTGCTTCGATTTCTATCGGAACCACCCGCCACCAGCGTAGCACCTCTGCGTTAGAGAGAGAAGGAGGATGTCCAGGCGCCTCACTGTCACACGCTGCCCCTCGCATGGTTTTGCGTGCGCAGGCTGCGACCGCGTTCGTGAGCTTGCAAAAATCAGCCTCTGAGGGTTAAAAAGCTTCCAGACCAGCCGGAGCAGTGTTATACACCTTGCACAATAGCATACTGCGTCGAAACCGGTGTGGCACGCCAGACAATTGCCAGCAGGCTCCTAGCGAATGCCACCCAGCCCTGATAGCAGCCAGTCTTGCCGAGAGTTCCCGCGAAAACGAGAGCGAGGAAGGGCCCTTCATGGCACCGAGACTCTTAACTAGCTGCAAAGGCTTCCCAGGAAAACAAACAGTACCATCACGAATAACCCGAAAAAAGCAGACCCCACTCCTTTCCCCACTAGACTCAGTAATGTATCTTGCTTAGAAAGATTCTGACGGTACCCAGTAAGCCCCAGACATGCGTCGATACCATCATTCCAGCAGGAGTTCTCACGCGCAAGATCAGCAACAGGCGTTGAAACTCCACCCGCCAACTTCTTGGTGAGGTCGTCGGCCTACTTAGTTAGTGATAAATCTACACATTCTCCATCCAACGGCGACCGAACGACGGGCTGATCGACGTGCGAGTCCCGCTCCCTCTGCTTCTGCTGCCACTCCGCGACGGCGGGATCGAACGTGCGCACGAAACTTCGAACTGCGAAGATACCCCCCATCAGTCCCCCACATCCTGGTCGAAGCGTGATGTCTCGATCACAACCTGAAAGAGTAACCGTCGCCCGTTGAAAGCGCTGACGTCCAAGCGACTCAGGCCCAGGGCGGAACGTAAGATGCGCAGTACTTCGCATAGCTGCCCAGCTGCTGGACGCAAACGCATTGGCCAAGTCGTGACAGTTGGTAATGTGAGACGTACCTGAGCGCTGGAGGTGGAAGCCTGCGATATGCTGCACTAGCAGAGCCTCCTCTCGACGTCGCCGAGGTACAAAACCGTGGTCTGCATGCGAGAAGGTCCCAGGGCCCCTCTGCGCCATAAGACTCGAATCCAGAGTTTTCCACATGGATCCAGGAGATGAATCCAGCGTGTGCGATGATCTTCCCGTGGCAGAGGGACCCCGCGACTACGATGCCAGCGTGCAGGCGCAACCCGCGAGCTGCGGACCCCCTGAAGCCCCAACTTCAGGAGCTCCCAGAAGCCCTCTGGAAAAGGTGGCCGAACTTGCAGCCCGAGACCACGCCCTCGAGAGCTGAGTCGCCGACGAGGGTGCAATAGGAGCCACCAGAGTTCCAGGGCGGGGGCCCACTCAGGAACAGCCCGTCGCTTTCCAGCTCGAAGAAGTCCCCTGCGCACTCCAGCTAGATCTTGAAACGCGCTACTCTTTTCTTCGCTGCTAATTTTTCGGACCCCAGGGGCAACATGCAAACAAGCATCTCGAAAAACGTCCCAGTCCTCGATCTCCTCCGCCTCCATTCCTCCATCCGCTCCTGGTTGTGAAAACTGTGCTGGCAGCGTCTCGGAATGTTCGACGGCCCCTCGGATTCCCAGCTAGCCCCTCTTCTTATGCCCAAATCGACTGCCTGACGCGTGCCGTGCTAGACGAGCCGCCTCCGCCATCCGCCCATGCCTCCACATCTCATTCATCTCATCGATGGCCTCCTGTCGTCGCTCATCGCGCTGTCGACGCAGAAAACGTGCATTAGCTTTTGTAACCTCGCTGAGCTTCGCAACTATCCTGGCCTCCTCCTCCCCCCCGTCCGCCCGTGCGAGCTCTCGTCGTGTGAGCCGTGGCTGCCGCGGCAGCTCCAGGCGCTCCTCCGCCAGAGCACGAGGCGGGCGAACACGTTCCTTTGAGAAAAATGCGGCCACTCGAGATGAGCAGGTCATTCATGTAGTCAAACAGGGCATCCGCGGTGGGCAGGTTGGCCAACCTAGAAATGCGCTCTGCGTCTCGCTCGACTCGAGCCTCAACTGATTCGATAAATTCTTTTCGAAGCTCACCCCTTCGAATCGACTGCATCAGCGCGTCCTGATCCCAGTTCGCCTTGTCGTCAGGCGAGTGGACCTGGGTACCAGGCGCCAATGTGTACGGACAGGCCGCATGTACCAAGAGGTGGTCACATATAGCCTTACGCTTCACCACTTG